TGTGAGTGGTTAGGATGGAGTTATAGGGTTCTACTATGGCTGAGGATACTTGTGGGGCTGGGCAGATGGCAAACTCCAGCTTAGACTTCTTGCTTCTCCATCAGCAGGGAGGTGAAACCTGAACCTGTGCCGCCCCCAAAGCTGTGAAACATCAGGAATCCCTGTAGCGCTGTGCATTGATCCACCAGTCTTCAGATATGCTCCGATACAAGATCAATTATTTCCTTCCCAACAGTATAATGACCTCAGGCATGTTATTAGCATCTTCCTTGCCAGAGATCAGCTGCTCAGGATAGGATAGCTGTTTATAGGTGCTAGTCTGGACCTCATCTATTACTGCAGGCTCCAAGTCTACAAAGACAGCTCTGGGGACATGCTTGCCAGCTCCAGTCTCACTGAAGAAGCTATTGAAGGTTCTATCACCATTGGGTTGGATACCATGCTCTAAGCAATATAATTCCCAGCAGGCATTGCCCATCCGCACTCCAGCCTGACCGACATGGATGGAGATACACTCACGCATGGTTGTTCCAATGTGTGAAGATGGGAGGGTGCTGTTGACGGCAGACAGGTTACAGGTCTCTGCCAACACAGCAAATCCTGATAATTTCTTGAAAGATATATGTCTTGACTTTTTTTTTTTTAATCATGGCTTTGAAGTAGTCCAATAATTCTTAAATTATCTCTCCTTGATCTATTTTACAGGTCAGTTGTTTTTCCAAATGAGACATTCCTCATTTTCTTCTATTTTTTCGTTCTTTCGATTTTGTTTGATTTTTTCCCTTGATGTCTCATGGGGTCATTAGCTTCTACTTGCTCAATTCTACTTTTTAAGAAATTATTTTGTTCAGTGAGCTTTTGTATCTCCTTTAACCATTTGGCCAAATTTGCTTACTGAGGAGTTCTCTTCAATGAGCTTTTGTACCTCCTTTTCTTTTTGGCCAATTCTATTTTTTAAGGAGTTCTTCTGTTTAGTGGATTTTTGTACTTCTTTTACCATTTGGCCTATTCTGTTTTTTAAAGTGTTATTTTCTAAGAGGCAGCTAGGTGGCACAGTGGATAGAGCACCGGCCCTAAAGTCAGGAGGACCTGAGTTCAAATCTGGCCTCAGACTAAACACTTGACACTTACTAGCTGTGTGACCCTGGGCAAGTCACTTAACCCCAATTGCCTCAAAAAACCAAAACAAAAGTGTTATTTTCTTCAGTGTTTTTTTTGTGCCTCCTTTACCAAGCTGTTGACTCCTTTTTCATTATTTCCTTGCATCACTCTCATTTCTTTCCCCCATTTTCCCCGTACCTCTCTTATTTGTTTTTTAAAGTCCTTTTTAGGGGCAGCTAGGTGGCAGAGTGGATAGAGCACTGACCCTGATGTCAGGAGCACCAGAGTTCAAATCTGGCCTCAGAACAAACACTTGACACTTACTAGCTGTGTGACCCTGGGCAAGTCACTTAACCCTAAGTGCCTAAAAAAAAAAAGTCCTTTTTGAGTGTTTCCAGAAATTCTTTTGGGCCTGAGACCAATTTACATTTTCCTTTGAGGCTTTGGATGTACCTGTTTTGACATTGATGTCTTCTGAGTATGTGTTTTGATCTTCCCTGTCACTATGATAATTTTCTATGGTCAGGTTCTTATTTTTTTGTTTGTTTATTTTCCCAGCCTATTTCTTGACTTTAAACTTTATGTTAAAGTTGGGCTCTGCTTCTGGGGTGCTGAGGGTACTGTCCCAAACTTCAGGCTTTTTGCACCACTGTTTTCAGAACTAGTTCTGGGAGTTTGTAAATTTTTAATTCTTCTAGAGTAAAATGATGTAAGGAGTGGTGTGGTCACTGCTCTCCTGGTCTGTGCTCTAGTATGTGAGCAACCACAAGTCCTCTTTTCCTCCTTGGAATTGTGTCTAGGCTCCCTATTGCTTCTAGTGCTCCTCCTAGACTGTAACCCAGAACCTAGTCTGGGCAGTGCAGCAGAGTCCTGCTCCCAGTGCCAGCAAAGGTTCCCCTGTAATCTTCTTCTGATCAGCTGTCCAACCCCCTTACTATCTATGGGCTGAGAGCTCTAGAAGCTGCTTCTGCCAATGAAGTCCCCTCCAAGGCCTGCTGCTGGCTTGTCAAGGTTCAGCCTGTTCTAGACTGTGCTCGATTCCTACCCCAATGAGACAGACCTTCCCTACTGACCTTCTAAGTTGTCTTGGGCTGGAAAATTGTTTCACCCCATCCTTCTGTTGGCTCTGCTGCTTCAGAATTCATTTGGAGGTTTTATATTTTAATGTTTGGAGGGGAATTTGGGAAAGCTCAGGCAAGTTTCTGCCTTTACTCTGCCATCTGGGCTCTGATAAGGGAGGGAGAGACCGCAGTAACAGAGGGTACTGACAAAGTGTGGATTCCAAGGCTAAAGCAGTATTGTTAAATGAAGAGGGTCCCAGAGTATAATGTTCATAATTTCCTACAAGACTTATTTGGACTTATGTTTTTGATTATTTCTGCTTTTGATTATTTCTGCTTTAACTTTCTATGATGTAGTAAATATTGTGTTATTGTTTTTGCCACCTTGTTTAGGAAATACTTCATATTTAAGAGTTAATGGAGTCATTGTGACTAATTTGTATAAATGGAGAACACTCAGGAGCTTCAGTAGTGAATGTATACATATGTATTTTCTTCAGATGGGGTAGAGACACCCCTCTCTGGAGAATCACTCAGACAAGCTAACAAAGGTACAGGTTGGATAGGTTTAGATCTCAGACCAAGAAAAGAGAAAATCTGAAGAAAGCTAAGGATTAGTGCCCTGCCTACAGCTACTTTGAAAATAAATATGTTCTGACTACACTACCCAAGTCCCACCTGCTAAGCATGTAAACTCTTCCCAATCAATAGCTTTCTCTTCCCGTTAGAGATATTCTTCAGTCCCTACCCTTAGTCCATTGAGCATGCTGATGTAAGGGCAGGGAGGTTTGTGGGAGTTTGTGGAGGAGGGGGAGTACACTGCTAGGGACCCTCAAGCTATAACATTAGAAAAACACCCCTAGAATCCTCAGGAAAGATGTAGTAGCCATTCTCTGGGGATCCAGTCCAGAGGGAGTTGGGAGAATAATTCTAAAGCATGTGACTATATTGCAGATTTTTGCTTCCTAGCTCCCAATGTCCCTCCCATCTCTCCCTGGTCAACTCATTAACTATTTTTAGCCTGAATAGCAGAAGGAAAACCCCATATCCCATTTACCCTGTTTTGAAATCTTTTATGCCAAAATTATGAATCAAGAATCATTGCAATTCTTTTCTCTTTGGCTGAGCCCCCAGCTAGGACAAAACCCTAGTGTGATCTCAGACCAAGATTTAGAAACTCTGTCCTGTTTATCTCTCTGTGCATCAAGCCATTCCCTGCTCTCCCCCACCCCCACTGGCCTTCAAAGCCCTTCTGGTCACAAATAAAAAGACCCACTCAAATCACCAACCAGTTATGACAGGTCATAATTTACTATGAAAATCAGAAATTATGAACATCTCAAAGAAAGAGAGAAATTGTAGGAAATGCTGGCCAGCTGCGGGCAGAGGGCTGGGAATGGGGAAGGGCGGAAATTAAACCTTCTCTGTACTCTAGCTGATGTCAGTGCAGACAAATCTTTTCTCTGTGGGTTTGAATAGGCCTAGTGGAGAGTGGGGACAACCCTAGCCACATTGATACTGCCATTCAAAAAGCCTTCTGTACCAGCTTTCTCTCTCTTCCCCAAAAGTTATTCCCAGTCTGCCAGCATGCAGCTGTGGCTCCTTCTTCCTCTAAATCCTACGCCCCACTGCCTGGCCTCGGGGTCCTTCCTCTCCACCCCCACCTCCTTCCTCATTCTCCAATTCACAATCCTGGAGGCCCAGATTCGACCTTTAAACTTGGCAACTTCAACTCCCCTCAAGTATCCCTGTGTCCCAGAGGCACTCCGGTTACATATCTTTTCCCATGTTATTTTATTCTCCCCCCTCCAATTAAAAATTCTGTCCAAACAAATAAAACTGAGTACTTTGGTGAGCTAAAGGAAGGAGAAATTTGTATACATCAGATGCAGAATAGAAAAGGCAGTGAGAGAGCCTGCCTGGAGGACAGTGTAACAATAGCAACTGTATACAACGTACCTGGGGCTTTGTGAGGGGGAAGGAGAGTCGACTTTCAGGTAATTAATTCCCCCCTTCCAAGTTCTTTTCCTGTTTTGGGAAGGAAGAACCTCTCCCAGGGGTGGGGAACCTGAAGCCTCAAGGCCACAAGGACCTCTAGGTCCTCAAGTGTGGCCATCTGACCTCAAGGCTAAAGGTTCCCCACCCCTGACCTAAACCCTAGAGTGGTGGCTAGAAGTCTGAAGTGCAAAGGCCTTTGGGAAAGGAAAGGTTCACCCTAGAGGTGAGACGCTTGATTTCCTAAAAATCCCAAACTTCTTTTTCTGGGAGTAGTGAGGGTGGGGGGAGAGGCAGTTGTCACCCAGGGAGGTATTGCAGAGTTCTCTGGAAGGACTCCCACTCTCAAGAAAAGGAGAGTTGTTTTGATTATCCTCAACACCCTTTCTGTTGACTGAAATAAAATCGATCATATATGCAATATTTTGGGGAGCTTGAGTGTGGGAGCTAAGGGACTTTTCCTCTCTGTGAGTGTGTGTGTTTTCTGGAGTGCTAGACAAGAGCTAAGTTTTACCGTTCCCAGGAGGAGCTCTGTGTGGGAGCACGAGCCAGAGATTGTTTGACAAGCCTTCATGCCTGGACCTGGTCCATGTAAACTCAGAGTGGCTTTTTTTGTAATACTGATGAGCCATGGGTCAGTTATATACTATCAACCTTCTTTAAAAAAAAATAGCAGTAGGGGTCAGGCAAACACCTTCTAGCTCCCTTAAACATGACTTGTAGCTGATGTAAATCCAGTTCCTTTCATGATCAAGGCATTTTCTTACTCCAAACAAGATGTTACAGGATAATTTGTAGCATCATAATCTGTTGCCATAGTAATAATATGACATCAGGCAGGCAAACTAGACTTCTGAGTACCTTGTAAAAATAACAAGCTCTCATTAATACATTGAACCAGGTCTGGGAAATAAAATGGAGGTCATATTCAGAAGGTAAGCCTACAGCCATTATGTAATAGAGCTGGCTTGGTCATTAGAACAGAGTTTCTGGGAAGCAAGATTTTATTCTCAGCCTCGTTTTACAATTTGTTCTGATTTATGCATAAATTGTGATCTGATTCTTTCCTTTCAAAATGGACATGTGGCTCCTGTAATTGGAGGGGGAAAGAGCCCTGTGACTAGGAATCTTCTTTGAAAAAGAAATAATTTGTTTATCACCCACAGGGCTAAATTCCCGATTCCCAGCATAAAGTACTTTTAGCCCAAAAGGGTTTTCTGGTCTTTGGGAAAAAAGAAGCAGCAACCCATGGGCTGGGTATGCATTAGATCCTCCCTGCAAAAAAAAAAAAGAAAAAAGTCATGACCAATTTGAATAATTATTGAGGGAAACGGCCTAAAGTGGAGAAAAATGCTGCCTTTTCCAGCCCTCTTCATTTTTTTCCTATTTAAAAAATGAATTCCTTTTGTGATTTTTTTTACATCACAGTTATTTCCTGATGTGCTCCTCAGTTTTTGAACTTCATATAACGAAAACAAATAAACAATAACAAAAAACCACAAAGCAACCAAATGTGACATTCTGCACCTCTATTACCTCATCTCTCTATCCAGAAGAGGGATATTTGCACCTCCTGTTTTCTGTAGCCAAGACTATTCAGCATAATCAGAGTTTGCATTTTAGTCATGTTTTCACCTCTTGCAGCCATTATCAAAAATCTCTCCTTGTTAATGCTGTCTTCATGTGCATCACTTTGTACATGTTTTCCCAAGTTTATCCAGATTCCTCATATTTCTCATTTCTTTTGGTGTAATAATATTCCATTCTATTAACATGTCACAATCTGGCCATTCCCCAGTTAGTCAGCACTCACTTTCTCCCCAGTTGGGTTTTTTTTGCTACTACAAAAATAGCTACTATAACATTTTTGTTATCTCTGGGACCTTTCCTTCACCTCCTTGTAGTACATGCCCAGGAGGCGGATTGCTGGGTCAAAGCATATGAACAGTGTAATGACTTTTCTCTCATAATTCCAATTTTTCCCCCACTACAATAGTTGGCACAAATCACAGCCCCATCAAAGTTCACTTGGTTACCGGTTCAATACCTTGACAACATAGTCAAGTACTGCCATTTTAAAATCATCTTTTTCACTGTGCTGGCAAACAACCTCACAGTTGTTTTGTTGAAGTTTAGGGGTACTGAGACCCCAAAAGTGACTTTGATCCAAGCCTTCTTTCAACCAAAGACAAGGCTGGGGTACACAAGATTCCTAGTGAGTCTGTATTATTGGCTAGATTTTAGGACTCTGAGGGCCTTAATGGAAGCAAGATGGATCTTATATACAAAAAGACTGTGGGAGGGATCTAGGTATGGTCAAATAGTCTGGGGTGACTGAGAGAAAGGGTCTAGGGAGGATCTTGATGGGAGTGGCCAGTAAGCTGGGGTGACAGGGAGGTAGAATGATTGGGACCTGGCCCTCGTGGCCAAGGGAGACTGGGGTCTAGATAGGATGAAGGAGTGGAGGTCTAGGGTGGGGGCCAGCTGCAGACAATGAAAGGGCAGTTAATTAATTGGGAAAGGCAGATTGCCCCAGGTGAAGGCCAGGGACCTGGGCCACATGGGAAAGGTTCAGGGCTTTTCCTTTTTGGGGTCCAGATTCCATCCCCATTAGTTTTTTTATATTAATTTATTTATCTTTAGCTTTTAACTTTCACTTCCGTAAGATTTTGAGTTCCAGATTTTCTCCCCATCCCAAGATGCTGCCGAATTCTGAATACCTTTCCCCTAATCCCATTAGTTTTAATATGCATTTCTCTTATTACTAATGATTTAGAACATTCTTGCATCATCTTAATTTCTTCTTGTGAAGAGCATTTGTTCATATCCTTTTGATCACTTCAGTCTTGAGGACTGTCACTTCTATATTTCCCCATCTCGAATATGGACCAGATGATTGCCAAAGTGCCTTCCAGCTCAGACCAACTCTAGTGTTGGAGTTGTGCATTTTTCTTCCACCCATTGTGATAAGGTTTGATGAAACAATGTAAATACTATTCTGTGCCTCATTTCTCCCCTGGAAAGTTTACCTAGGTATGAAAAGAAAAGACACATAAATAAAAATGTCATATACAAATTAAAAAAAAGAGAAAACCTACCTATATGTAAAAAATAAAATATATCAATAAAATTTTACTTAAAAAAATGAAAGTTTACTCAGATGTACTCACCCAGTGGTCTCATTTCAGCTCTTTATTTTTCTGTGCCTCATTTCTCCCCAGGAAAGTTTACCCAAATTAAAAAAAAAAGACATCAACAAAAATGCCAAATAAAAATTTTAAATTTTAAGAAAATTTTTTAAAAAGGAAATTTACCCAGATGTGCGCCATTTTTATTTTTTGATACAAGACAGCCTTTATTTCAACACCCAGAAAGAATGAGCCCCACAAACAACTCACCGGAGCCTGTAAACAATGTAAAAAAGAAACAAAAAAAACCAAAAGATTTATAGGATTCCATAATAATCAAGATACTCTCCTTCCCTCTGGGCAAAAATGCTTTATCTCGGCCTCTACCAGACTGTAGCTTCTTGGAAGGGAGAGGCTGGGTTAAACTTGTGACTCTTCTGACATGACCTATGTGACCTTAGACAAATTTCTACCCCTCCCTGAATCTCAGAGAAGTGCAAGTCAGCTCAAAGAGCATCTAATGAGTAGAAGGCTCTTGACTGGCACCACGTAGCCTAAACTTGAAGACCTTCACTCACTATTTCTTGAAGAATCTCATTCCATTTTAGGACAGCTCTCACAGGAAATTCAATCAAATAAATATTAAGTGCCTACTATATACAAAGTACTAGGTTCTGCTGCAAATGTAAAGATGAAAGATAAAAAGAGTTCCGGCCTTCTGGGAGCTTACAGTCTAAGGGGTGGGTGTGGGAAATGTTAGGAACATCTTTCTCATTAACCTGAAGGGAGATAGAGTGTGAAGTGGTGGGAAAAGTGCTGAATTTGGAGCTTGAGGACCTAAGTACAGATTCTGTGTAATCTTCTCTCTATGCCTCAGTTTCCCCCCTATAAAAGGAGAGGGCTGGACTAAATGATCTTTAAGCTTCCTCCAGCTCTAAAAACTCTCTGATCTTAGGTACTTAAAGTAGATGTAGAGTTCACCTACCTTCCAAGGCAGCACTTTCTACTTTGGGGAGCTCTGAGTGTTAGAAAATATTTCTTTCTAATGAGATTTTTTTTTCAAATGTATTATTTGTTTTAAACATTCTCTTTTTTAAAATTTTGAGTTCCAAATTTTCTCTCTCCCTCCAAGTATTCCCCGACATGCTGAAAAGGCAAGCAATGTCAATTATACATGTGAAATCAATATAAATTGAAACTATTACCATATTGTTAAAATAGTGCATAACTGATTCAACTAATTTTTTTAAAAAATCAGTGTATATTGAAATATATATTGAGAATCCTTAACTCACTCATCAAGGCTTAACTTGTTAATATTTTTTTCCAATTACATCTCAGAAACAACTTTTAACTTTCATCTTTTACAACTGAATTCCAAATTATCCCCCCCCTCCCCATTGAGGAGGCAAGCAATTTAATAAACGTTATGCATGAGCATGCATAACATATTAAGGCTTAACTCATAAATCACCTTCTACTGGGATCTTTTCATAGCATCACAGATCTAAAGCAGGAAGAGACCTGGGGAAACACTTAGATAAACCTCTCATTTTACAGAGGAGAAAACTGAGACCCAGAGAGGTTTCAAAACTTGAACCCAGGTTCACTCCTTCCACTGTATCACGTTGCCTGCCAATTCCCACCTTAAACGATCACCAGTTGATTATTAAGTATCTACTGAGCTCATAAAATATACCAAGCACCAGGCTAGACCCTGGAGATATAAATTCAAAGAATGCAACAATCCTTACTCTCAAGAATCTTACATTCTAAAGGGGCAGATGAGTATATACAGAAGCAATATTTTAAAAATTAATACCAAGTAGTTAAAAACAAGGTAGTTTGGGAGGAAGAAGAGAGCAAACAATGGGAGGAATCAGGACAGGCTTTATATGTTTATTTTTATGTCATTCTCCCCATCCCAGTAGAAGGTGAACCCAGTAGAAGGGTGCAGGGACTGGGCCTTTCTTAGCCTTTGTAACCCTAGTGCCTGGCTCACAGGAGGGCTTAATAAACGCTTGTTGGATGGGACTGGATTGGCCAGTCCTTAATTGCCAAGCCAGGCTGAGCTCTCACACCTGGCCCTTCTTATTCTCCTATTAGCTCTGCTCGAGTCCCACCTGCTCTCTTCTGGGGAGGGGAAGGAGTAAGGGAGAAGGAGCAGAAGAAAGGGGAGAGTCTAGAAGAGGGAGAGGAGAAGGAGGGGTAGGTTGCAGGACAGCACCCCTAGGGATCCTGCCCCCATAATGGAGGGCTCAGCTGAAGGCAGGAGAAAGAAGAGGAGACCAAGATGCTACAGGAGGGGTCGGAGGCCGCCAGGCCCAGGTAGCTGAGTTTGGAGAGGTGGGGTGTCTACCTGGGCAAAGACATCTTCACTCCCTCACATCCAAATCCCCTGGCCCTAGGGCTAGATGCAAATAGAAACTTCCTCTTACCTCATCCCTCCCTATTTGGGAGGGTGGGAGAGGGGAGGAGGCTTGAACTCGGCTTTCCAGTCCAAGAAGATGCTCTGCTTGAATGAGAAAGAAATTCCCCTTAGACACTGGATGATGTTTGAGGCCCCATTCCATCTCTAGGTCATCTGAATGTATGTAGACACATGTGTTTGCCTGACTGAACAGAGGCGAATTCTGCTTTCCTCCTGAAAATAACGAAGGAGCTGTATGTAGTCTTCCCCTCCCTCCTTCCTCCAGCAAACTAGGTGAACCAGTAGCTCCCTTCCATCACCCACTGTCTAATTAAACATTGTGTAAGGTTGCTTCACAGCTGTCAAAAGGATTATTCCTTCCAATCTTGGGAAATTTTGAATCTAATATTGGCCACCAAAATAAAGTTAATAATAAATATCCTGTTTGTCCACTCTGGACAGTTTTCCCACACATCCCTTTACCAGCTGTTATGTCTGGGAGGTGCCCATGTACTTTGCTATGTTTTTGCTTTTTCCCATTGGCAGACATATGCGATCTGATGGATTCAGATAAAAGTCCAGATTTTGCAGAGAAATTGGCTCACAAATACAAGGTAAAAACATCTTTTTCTGAGGTGGTGGGAGGTTTTTTGGTTTCAATGCCGGTCTTTATATAATTGTAGGATCACAGGTGTAGAGCTGAGAGGGATATTGGAGGTCATCAAATGCAACCCTTCCGTTTACAGATGAGGAAACAGGCCTAGAGGGGTTAAGTGACTTGCCCAGGATCACACAACTTGTAAAAATTGGAGGTGGGATTTGAATTGTAATCTTGGAAATCTTTCTTTCCTCCGCTGGTCTTTAAAATGGCAGTCAACTTTGCAGCAAACGTGAATCGTGTTCCCCCTAGATTATTTTTAAACTTTGTATAGTTCTATTTGGAGAACTCCTCACCTGACCCAATTTAGACATACTGATTTCTAGTCTTCTTGTTATAAATTTCTCCATTATGTAGCCCTGCCCCATTTAAAGTGCAAGGTCTCATCCTTGCTTTTGGTTTTGCCTAGGAAAAATTAAATGGTATTCACTAGGCTCTTTTAAAATGAGAAGATATAAGGATGTAGCTACCTTTGGAAAAAAGATCATTTTTAATACCCGCTATTGGAACCACAAAGAAGTAACTACAGCATTACAGTGTTTCAACCAAGTCAATGCTTTGGAAACCATTTTAAAGCAAAGCAAAATTCATATTTCTGTGATTATTGGAACACCTGAAGAATTTATTAGAAGGAAAAATGTGTCTGGTCCAAGGGATCTTAACCTAGGGTCCGTAAACTTTTTTTTTTTTGGTGAGGGAGGGTAATGCGATTTCAATGTAATTGATTTCCTTTTTATTTCCTTTTATACACTTAAAAATATTATTCTGAGAAGGGGTCCATAGAATTCACCAGACTGCCAGAGAGGATTATGACACCAACAAGGTGAAGAACCCCTGATCTAGTCTATCTCAGCCGGACTGATCAATCAGGTTTTTAAGTTTTAGTTCGAATTTTATAAACTTCTCTTTTTCTTTTAAAGCAAAAATGCAAAATCGAGTCAAGTACTGATTCTGAATCTGAGACCAATACAGAGGTAATGTCCTTGTCTTGACTGTCTCGTCCATGGCTTTTTTCCTCTTTTTGTGTTATGCTGGCCAGGAGACTTTTCCCTGACTCCCTAATTCCTTCTCTTTCTCATCATGTAAAGGAGCAGAATGGCTCTCAGTTTTTTTGTTTCTAGTACTCATATTTAAGCTAAATGTCATAAATCTCTTTCTAAATTTTTCCATCTTTGCAAAATAAATGTCAGTTCCCATCTCCTCCTCCTTCATAGCTTTTCTTATAATCTACTATGTATTTTCCTCTCTTCACAGCATCCAGCAGCTTTTTTCTCCCTCTATCTTATTTTCGTTTTGGCTTTTGGTCTGGATATGTGTTTCATCCACACAGCTAACTACTCACCGTTGTGTTCTGCAGATGTTTTGAAACTCCTAGTCTTAGTTGCCTGGGGCAATGAGAGGCTAAGTGACTTCTTTCGTTTTCTCTTAGAAAGTTTATGTTCTTAATGACATTACCTTTGATTTATAGTTCCATGAATGAGGATGATCCACATGGTAAATCCCTAGAGGGTCCCCAAATCTGGCTTTAGAAACTAATTCACATAGCAATATTTTCATGGGCAGATCATGGACCATTCATGTGTAGGCTGGGGTTGATTCTTCACGTGCATAAATAAAGATCTTCTATGGAAAAGGAAACTAGTTATACACGACTGAGTCAAGCTTTCAGAGCTCCAATAAACCTACTATTTTCTGGTAGGTGGAGGTGAGTGAAGCCAAAGCTAGAACAAGTCTACTCATGCATGCAGGTTTAGCATATATAATTCCTATTGTTAAGATGTAATTGCATAGGGACTCACAGGTTTGGGGACATCTGAGGGATATGTAAGCTAAATGAAGGTGTTCTGAACTTCAGCCATTTGCTGTGTTAGCAGATATCTAGCATGTCCTCTGTTATCCCCTCGCTTCCTTCTGCTGGATAGCATTTAAAAATAGAAATACTAGATATTGCCCAGAATTTTACTTAGAAATAAAGGAAAATGCGCATTATTCTTTGCAATTGCTTTGAAAACATTTACATGTTATACAAATGAGGTTTTTTTTGCACAAACATTAAACATTTTTTAGTTTCTACTTTTTGATTGAGAAATTTAATAAGTCACCTAATTGGTCACATGTAAACATTAATATGCTAACCTTTTGACATTTGTTGTGTAATACATGACCATATTGTAAAATAATCCTTTCCACAACCACTTCTGCTCTTGCTGTTCTCCTTTTAGTTTTCAGAAGGCTGCTAATCTCCTATTGCTTGGATTATCTACCAGACAAGGATAAGAAATGGTCTCAATTTAGTTCTTGAAAGAGAGGGCCTAGTTTAGGTTTGCTCTGCTGACATCTGGTCTTTTTAATGCTTTGAATCTTTAGTCAAAGATAACTGTTTGCATGAAACATATAAGATTTGTAAAAAATTATTAACCTTCCATTAACAAACATACTTGTGTCTTTCTGAAATATTTTTTTTCCTTCTGAGTATTTATCTAGATTTTCTTGCTATTATTCTTATTTATATAGCATCCCTTCTGGGCTTATACACCTTTCCCACTCAAACTTGCACTTTAAGGTTGAGGTCCCCTAAGGATGTGGCTTCTTCCTAAGTATTCTTCACATTGTAGCGTCTGAGCCCCCACTGGTTTGCTTTCCGTTAACATTCAGCCAATAGAATCAGTTAACTTTTATCTTTTTAAAAATTCTGAACTTAACAAGTACCCCTGCAAAAGCTCATTTCCACGACAAAATGGAACACAAAAAGAGTATTGTATATGAAACCTAGCGGTGGAATCTCTGGGCCAAAGGGTGTGGACATTTTAGTCACTTTATTTGTGCTTTCCAAAATGGCTGTTCTGATTCATAGCTCTACCAACGATGTACTTGTTTATCTATCTTCCCGAAGTCCAAGGTTAGATCTTTTCTTATCCTTGTCTATTTGTAGGGTGTGATTTGCATTTCTCTCATCAGCAATTTTAGCATTCTTTCACTTGGTTGTTACTGGTTTGCAATTCTTCTTTTGAAAAATCATTCTGTTCCTATCCTTTGACCACTTATCTATAATTCCTTATTGTGGTCTTTATCTCCTATTATTCATCTCTCTAGGCTTATTCGCCTGGGCCAGGCTTTATCTAATACTGTGTTTTGAGGTGAGATAACTGGTCCTTTTTCTTGCTTTGTTCTTGTTTTTGTTTTACCTGGATTCCTAAGCTAACCGCCACCACCCAGAGTTAGGCCTCCCCTGAATCTTTGTGGGTCATAGTGCTGGGTCATAAAGGGCACCACTATAGCCTTTCAGGACAGAAGGCTTAGAGCCCCTGGGCCTGATCTGAGCATTGTCATGCCCAGACTGGTTGTTGTCATGCCTGATAAATTTCAAGGTCCCTATTGTGGGTTTCTGACCACTGTGGGTCTTCCTTGAGGGAGTCCTCCACTGTCACTGCCTCCAAACGAGGAAGGTGGGATCTAAACCCCAAAAAGGAAAAACTCTGGACTCTCCCACATGGCCAAATCTCTGGCCTTTGCCTAAGACTACAATCCCATCAACTGGACTTTCTTTGTGGCTACACCCAATCTCCCAATTCTGTTATCCTTAACCTAGCCTAGCCTTCCATTGTCTTACCTCCTTATGGCCCCTGGCTATTTCGCACCCTTAATCCTAGCTAGGCTCCATTCTCCCTTGGCCATGTGGTCCTGGTCCTAGACATTCTGTTCACCCCAGTTTACTGGCCACTTCCATCCAGATCCTTCTTAGATCCTTCCTCCAGTCACCCCAAACTACTCGGCCACTCCTAAATCTCTCCCACAGTCTTTCTGTATATAAGGCCCATCTTGTCTGCATTAAGGTGCTCAGATTCTCATAATCTAGCCACTGCTCAGATTTTTACAATCTAGCCAATAGCTCACAGGTGCTCAGATTCCTTAAGAGTTTGCCTAATATGGTAGAGCTTTAATAATTGACTGAAAGAAGGGTTGGGTCGAATTCTTTTGGACAGGACCTGCCTGTCATGATTTTGGGGTTCCACAAAAAAAAACCCTTAAACCTCTAGACCTCATCATAGATACAAAACTATGCAAGCTTTACCTGTCTTTGTCCTGTTGTACTAGAAAGCTAAGGGTCTGTCTGTGCTGGTACTATCTCCTCCTATTGCCCCTGAGTTTTGAAACCTAACTTTTAATGCAGTTCTGAGGTAGAAGAAATCACCCTCTATAGTTTCCAATTGAATTTCGTGATCATTACTTTGTGTGGTAAGAGTTCTAGGTTTTTGTTTAAGTATTTGGGAGCTAGACTATCTGCATCCATTCAATTAACCATATTGGCTAGAAATGCCATTCTTAAAGGCATTTATTCAGATAGCATGGCAAGAATAATATGAACTAAAAAGCAAGAACCAAGCATATTTTTCCCATAAACCCAAGGCATACTCTGCCACCAATACACATAGCGTCTGCTGAGGAGAATGGGGACAAACGTGGGAAATACATAACCAAGGTAATTGGTAATTAACTTGTGAAATTTTGAATGGGGGCAGGCATCCCTGGTTCTTTGGGTAATCATTAGGAAAAAACACAAGTGGCAGAGAGAAACATGGTGGCAATTACACTTTAATAACCACAGAGGGCATGAGGACAAAACACATAGAAAATACAGAGACAAGCGGCAAAAAGTGGGAGAGATACAGAGGCAGATGGTTTGCAGATGGGAGGGAGTGGTGAAGGGAGGCAGGGAGTATGGGGAAAGGGAAGAGGCCGAGATAGTCACTCTTATAACCATCAATTTGAGTTGGGAGCATTAGACAGCATGAAGCCGATGAAGATAGAAGAGTGCTTAGAAGTGGAGTTTGAGGTCTCATTTTTACACTTTTTTTTTTTAGGGAAACAGATCAACTCCTGTCTGTACCACTTTGGGGGTTAGTTCATTAACATATCCAGATCATCTCAAACTTATCAGCAAAACTTCAAAGTTAACATATCTATGTCATTCCAAAATCATCAATAACTTTTGATCTTCTGCTGGTCTGGAGCAGTGGAGGTCTGGAATCAGTCTAGAATTTACATATCATAGAACCATAACCTTGACGGCAGTGCCCAGATAGCCTCAGTTGATTCAACACATATTACCAGATGTGAATTTTGGTTAATATATAATACAATTTGTAAATTGTGCTCCTTTGATCTTTGAGACAGTTTTATGTGACTTCCAGATTCCCGTTTGCAATCTTATTTACTACTATTGCCCCTTTATACTGGCTACTTAAAACTTTTTTTTTGGTTTTTCAGGCAATTGGGGTTAAGTGACTTGCCCAGGGTCACACAGCTAGTAAGTGCCTGAAGCTAGATTTGAACTCGGGAAGATGAGTCTTCCTGACTCCAGGCCCAGTGTTCTATTCACTGTGCTACCTAGCTGTTTATTATCCCTACTAGGTATTTCAAAACCTGGTATTTTTCATCTTCTCATTTTTTTTTCTAGGGTCGGGGGATAACCTGGCTCTTCTTCTTGCCAGGGTCCTCTTTATGCCTTTTATCATATTCCCTCTTGTCTCTTGGGGCAGTTTGCTCCATCAGTCATTCCTATTTCTCTTACTTTCAACCTCTGCCTAGGTAGTAGCTCCTTTCCTAATGCCTACACGTGTGGTAAGGGCTCTGTCATCATTAAAAAGCCTCTATCCATCTCCCCAAGCTTTCCTTTCATATATCTCCATTTTACTACTAAAAAAAAATTCAGATGCCCCCACTTCCTTGCCATCTACTCACTTCTTAACTCCTTGAATCTGATCTCATGACTCTCCTGAAGCTTGTCTCTCAAACAACCTCTGCTGCTTAATCCAATGGTCTTTTCTTAGTACTCATACTGCTTGGCTTTTCTATAGCTTTTGAGCCATTGACCATCCCCTCTTCCTGAGTACTCTCTCCTGCCTCTTGGCTCTTTTCCTGCTCGACTGCAACTTCTCCATCTCTTTTTCTGGGTTATTCTCAGCCTCCCACCCTTCAGCCTGGTAGTAATAACAATAATGATGATGATGAATGATAGCATTTATATAGTGCTTTAAGGTTTCCAAAGTGCTTTACAAATGTGACCTCATTTTATCCTCACAACAACCCTGGGAGGTAGGTGGTATTATTATTTCCATTTTATGGATAAGAAAACTGAGACAGAAGTTAAATGACTTACTCAGAGTCATACAACTGGTGTTTGAGGCCAGGTTTGAACTTGGGTCTTACTTACTCCAGGTCCAGTGATTTATCACTGTGCTATCTAGCTGCCTCTAGGTATGCCTGAAGGTTCTTTCCTGGGCTCTGTCTCCCTGTCTCCCCCAATCGCTTCTTCTCTCCTTCCCTCCCTCCTCTTTTTCCCTGTCTCCCTCCCTCTTTCCCTCCATCCTTCTTTCCCTCTCTTTCACCTTCCTTCCTCCCCTTCCTTTCTTCCTCCCTCTCTCCTTCTTTTCTTCTTCCCTCTCTCCCTCCTCCTTCTCTTCTTCCCTCTCTCCTTCTCTCCCTACCTCTCTCCTTTCCCTCTCCATTCTCTCATCTGCTTCTAAATGTTTAGTTATCTCCTTTATGCAGATGAACTTCAAATCTGAGCCTTAATTTCTCTCCTGATCTCCAGTCCCACGTCACCCCCTGCTTATGGGACATTTCTATGTGTGTAATCCTGTTTGCACTTCAAACTGAGCGTGTCTCAAACTGAACTTGTTCATTCATATTCCTCCCCCTCTACACCACCCCCCATCCCTCTTCTTTTGCAGTGCTCCCTGCCAAGGGTATCACCATCTTCCTCATCACTAAAGTGTTTTTGTTTTTAGCTTCAGTCATCTTGCATTCTTCCTCCTCCTCCTTCACCTTCTCCATAACCATTCAGGTGCCACATCCTGTCCTGTCTCCACACTGTGCCTCATAAGCATGTTTCTTTCTCTCTGCTCCTATTGTCAGTACCTCATTCGGGCATTATTACCACCTCCCTGGACTCTTCTTCTTTTTTTTTTGGGGGGGGGGTCTAGGTAATAGGATTAAGTGCTTGCCCAGGGTCACACAGCTAGTAAGTGTTATGTGTCTGAGGCTGGATTTGAACTCGGGTCTTTCTGAATCCAGGGCCGGTTCTCTATCCACTGTGCCACCTTGTTGCCCCTCCCTGGACTCTTCTAATAGCTTCTAGTTTCCTTGCCTCCAGGCTCTCCGCTTTTCAGTACTTTTTTTTTTTTGGCACAACTGCCAAAATCATCTTCCTAAGGAACAGGTCTGACTATGCTACTCTTCCTTAAAAATCTTCGATGGCTCCTAATTGCCTCTAGGATAAAATGTCAGTTATGATTACTATCACTGTGGTTATAAAGACCCTCTGGGGTAAGTCTCAGAACATTGCTTTAGGTTAAACTGAGAGAAATTGAATTTCTTTGTACCTAAAATGAATTAATTAAATTAGCTTTACACTTTTAGTGCTTAGCAAGAAACGTGGTAAACGTTTGATAAACCAACAAATGATTTCATTAGGTAGTTAAAATATTTCTTTGCATATTAGAAATGTGCAATAGGAAACATTAAAATATGCATTTTTTGATAATAAAATAGAAATAAGTAAAGTTTTTTTTAAATTTAAAAGAAGAACATTCATTCTACAGAGGACTGCTGGCTTTTTCATCAATAAGTCCTATGCTAAAAGAACTTTGTCCCTTTGTTTCAGGAGTATAAGATAAAACATTCTACAAAGCCCATAGGTTAGTCCTAGATGCCCTGACTCTAAATACAGTGTTCTTTCTACTATTCTATCACAGGATTCACTAATATTGCATAGTTATTTTATTACCAAGGAAAACTCCACAGTCTCCAAAGCCAGAAAGATCTGGGTTCAGATCCTGTCTTTTGCTCATGCTGACTGCAACTCTGGGCAAATCACTTAACTTCTTTGTTCTCTAGGCAACTTTATAAGACTATAGGTTGCTGGAAAGTTACCAACCTACTCTAGTAGAGAGAATTTCCTCACCTGGGAGTTCCTGATATTAATAAAACCCCAGGTCCAATCTCTTTCCTTATTATCAGAGAAAACAATGTGGCATGATCCACGTCCAGTGGACATTGTCAGAAATGGTACCATGCAAGAGAAACAAAAATGATCTGAGTGAATATCAAATTTCCCCAACTCTGTATACTTTCTTGTTCTGGTTCACGAATAGCTATACAGTTATCCCTTCCACATCATGGAAGGTTAGGGGTGCAAGCGCCCCTGTGATCTGGAAAATCTGTGTAAATTTTTTGGCCCTCCATTTGTACCAGAGAAAAAGTCTGATTTTTTTTTCCTTTTTCTTTTATGGGGTCTTTACAGTTTTAAAAGATAAATATATTACTATAGAATATTATGCATATATTTTATGCATTTTTGAGTTTCTAAACTTCTTCTGTGTCATCTGCTGGCCTTCACATATCCATCCCCCAAAATTTCATATAATTTCCTATGCCAACTCACGATACAGTAAAACATCAATGGGGAAAGTCGCAATGTGGAAGGGATAACTGTAATTCTAAAAGTATTTGATGACCTTTTCTTTGGTATAAGTCTGGGAGCTAATTTTAGAACTTTTAAGATAAATAAAAGTACATTTTCTTCCTGTCTAGAAATTTGCCAAGTTAGATGATAAGACTGCTTAGAATGAACTGTATCCATGGAAAACATGTTTAAAAAGGAAACAAACCATGGAGTATTGTTTGTAATTGGAACTTTTTCCTACAGGGTACCTTCACACGAGGATTCTTTAAAAAAGCAACTGGCATGAAACTTCAAGTAAGTTTGTGTTGGGTGATAAAGTTTCATTCCTATCAGTTCCCATTCTCCTTCCTCTATGCATATGTTTTGTGTTCTTGCACCTGTGTGTCTCGTAGGAATGGTGTACCTATTGTGGGTCCCCTTGGTCAAATGGACCCAAACTGTGGTAATTAATGGATGTCTGTTAATCTTGAAAGAGGTCTGGAGTAGAGAATTCCCAGCATATGTCCTTACCTCTATTTTGTTCCTGGAAAAAAAACCCATGATATTTTCAGGTGACGCAACACTAGCAAAGATGGCCAGTATGTTGATTGACAGAATGGGTATCCAGAAAGAACTTGATAATCTGGAACAGCGGAACGAATCTAAGAAGACAACATTTGATAGAGATAAACGTAAAGTCTTGGGTTAATGAAGCCATCTACCCTGGTGGCAACATGGGACGGTTTTGTGTAGACAACTGTTCAGGTGAAAAAAGATTTGAGTTTTCTCTTGGTATGAGTTGAAATCCTGAGGGTGGCATGGCAGCCAGTAAAGTTAATGAGATCATAGGCTACATTAATGGAAACATCGTTCCCAGAACAAAGGAAGTTATGGTCCTGCTACTCTACTCTATCCTGGGTAGATCCCAGTAATGTGTGACACCATATTATGGGAAAGTCATTGACATGAAGGAGAATGTCTGGAGGAGGCAACCACGATGGTGAGAACTAGAAACTATGTCATGTAAAGGATTGGTTGAAAGATCTAGGGATATTAGATTGGAGTAGAGAAGACTTTGAGGGGTAAGGGTGGAAGGGGGACATGTTGGCTGTCTTCAAATAGCTGAAAGGCTGCCATTCAAAAGAAGAATCTATTCTACTTGACCTCAGGGGACAGAACTAGAAAACCATGGATGGACATTGCTAAGATTTCAACTTGAAGAGTAACTTCCTAACAATTAGAATTGTCCAACAACAGTAAAGGCATCCTTCTAAGGCAGTGAACTCCCTATCACTTGGTAATGTCTAAGTGAAGGCTAGATGACTACTTTCTAGGGTGACGTAGGTGGGACTTCTCCTGTTTCAAATAAAAGTTTGGATTAGACAACAGTTGAGGCCCATTCCAACTGAGGTCCATCTCCGACTGAGATTCTTTGATTTTAAGTACGAAGTACAAAATATGGACAAGGGGGAAGTGTCTCTACCCAGAGGACTTAACTCTTAGGAGATCTCAATTAAGCCACTTTTCTCATGCTTTATTAAAAGCTACCTTGTGGTGTTTTCTTTTTGACAATATTTTAATGAAGTAAAAAAAAAATAAAAATCCACCTTCCTGAACCATGGCTGATCAAAGGCAGGACAGGCGTAGCTGTATCCGAGAAGCATTCGGTATTATCAACACCAGGGTTGGCATCAAGAAGAAGCAAAGAAAAATACTCCATCGTTTCAAGGTGCTGCTCCTACTGCTTAAAATCCTTTTCTCTCTTGGTAAAAGTGGGGCCCTGTATGGAATTGGGGGGGGGTGGCAGTGGTATATGAGAATGGGTTTGTGCAACTGGAACTAGAAACTCCTAAATTCTGAAGATGAGAGTTTTCTGGAAGCATTGTCCTAGGTAGTTTTTGCTTTCTTCCTCACAAGTCTTGTTTTCTCTTCCAAAATCTTGTGAGGATTTCCAGTCCTAAGTGCTTATGATGTACCAAGGAATTACTTCCTTGTTACTTGTAATTCCCTTATTTTCTTATTCCTTTCATTTAAAAAAAAAAGGAAATGGGAAAAAAAATCTAGATTTCTTGACAGTGTGATGTAGTGGAAAGAACACTGCGTTATAGTTAAGAGACCTTCGTTCTGTTCCTTACCCTGCTGAGTGACCTTGACCAAATCACACACTGTGTCTGAGCCTCTCATTCCTCACCTCTAAGGAGGTTGAACCAAGCCTATCTCTAAGGTCACTTCTGGCTCTGAAATTCTATGATTCATAGAATTCTAAACTTCTTTGATATTGAGGATGAGATCAGACTACAGCGTCCTTCTTGGAATCCTGTTCAGCTTCAGTACAGAATAGATACTTATTTTTAAATCTCTTCAGAGTGTCAAATACTTATTTTTAAATCTGTCAAAGTGTTCAGTAATGCTCCCACCTAAAACTTTGTTTTCTTGATATATGGTACTTAGGTTTAAGTTTCTGGATCTCTAGGAAATGCTTTGTCAAAGGTTTCCCTCCTTCCCCTAGGACTCACAAGTCCCTAAGATACTTTTCTTTAATTACCCTGGGTTGCCCCATCTTTTGTGGGTCCCTAAGCACCACAGGGAATTGTATGGGAAGTAGCAATTCCCTGATTCCCCCTCTTCTTTCATGGGCCCTGGCTTTTGCAAAAGTAATTTTGAGTGTTAAGATGCTGGATGTCTTTCTTATCTGATAGTGAAGAGTGTTCAAGCCTCTTTTTTTCCTAGGGCAATCACAAAAAGAATCGCATGGAATTTGCAGAAGGTATCATAAGAGAGGTAGGTTGACTTAGATCTAAAAAAACTGACAGCATCTTAGGGTACATACTTTTATTTAAGTACTGGTTAAGTGGTATAGTTTTAGCCAATGTTAATTTGAGATAGACACATAACTGGATAAGAAATGAGAATTTTAATGGAAAAGATTTTGCTTTCTCTAATGGTTCCCTCTTCTTGTCATCCTAGGCAAATTTTGGAAGCACTTAATCTGGGTAGTTGGAATATAAATTTGGAAGCCGTAGGTAAAGCTAGGGCAAGGCCCATCATGGGATGCCAAACGCCTTCTCTGAGGCTGAGCTTACTTATCTATAAAATGAGGGTCTTGGATTAGAAGAACTCTTTCCATTGGATAATTTTATGATGATTTTTCTAGTTCAAGAGTTATGCCCCCATTTACCTCTTCTTTTTCTGAGTATCTTGTCTCCCAGAATGTACCCTTTTAGCTATGTCCTCTGTCTCCATTTGGATGAAATGCTTTCCAAATGTCTCAGTGCTATGAGACTCATAGTTAGAAGAGCAAAGCAATGGTAGGAGAACCTGGAGGTGTGAAGAGTCAAAAATAGAACAAGGTAGAGTTTCATGCCTGGTACATAAGAATCACTGCAGCCTTGCCTCCAGACCTCTTCCACCTACAAGGAGAACTGTGCATGACAACAAGCTGCCTTACTTGGAGTCAGTCAAGATCTCATGAAGGCGAGCTGCCTCTGCCACCCGTGGTATTTTACAGAGCATCCTGGGTCCTGGTTCTAAGGTGCCCTTACAGGACTTTCCAGCAGCCTCCTTCCCCCAAATGGAAGAGAACTGCTAAGCCTTCTGTTCTCTGGCTGTAGCTTTTAGAAAAGCCCACCTTTGCTTGTCTCTGAGAGGTCCCACAATGTTCACTTTCTTGGGTATTTGGGGAGGGATACAGTCAATGGTATGAGAAATAGTTTTCTGTATTTTATGTACTTTGGCAACTAGAGTGGGAATAGAAATTTTTTTGATCTATCTCTATACCTGATTGCTATGGAAACTGCTTTTAGCACATCAGACTGATGCTCTGATGATCCCAGCATTGTTGATATATTTTGAAATGATCTCATTTTGGGAAATAATCAACCTGATGGTATTTCTTTTAATAAAAAAAGAAACATAGCTAATATGGTATGTTGTGGTTCCGAATGGACAGAATCCACAGTAGAGACAATTAGTTCAGCTACTCTGGAAAAATAAAATATCAGATACTATAATTAATGTGATGAAGTATGAAATTTTGAACTACAGATTGAGCATAAGTATTTGTTTATATTATCAAAACCCAATGACTGAAATTGTTTTTCCACATATCTCTTTGTACTAAAAATCCCTTCCTCTCCCATTTTGAGTTGAAACAGTGCTATTCACACGTGACCAGTTTCTAGACTTAACTGGACCTGTAGGTTATTGATGGTCCAGATTTGTTTCATAGGAAGATGACTTTAGGCACCATTCTATATCAAATTAGATTAGGGTTGGGGATCCAGTGGCCTCAAGGCCACATGTGGCCCCTTTAGGCCCTCAAATGCACCTGTTTGACTGAAATCAAACTTTACAGCACAAATGAGGCCACTTAGATTAATTCTACCAATCCTGGGTTTTGATCTTGTCAATTGTCAGTGGTTTCATTATGCTTAAAGACATTTCCACTTTGTCTTGCTTTGAATGTAACACATTATTGAAGCTCTATAAATTCATCTATCCATAGGTAGGTCTATGTGTAGACTGACAGATGGAACATAATGATATACATGTAAACCATAGTGTCTATGTTGATGTCGTGATACTAACCCTGTTGGTTTATTTCTCTCTCTTCACTGGGGGGCTCTTATATCAAACAATATTCTTAAAAATTTCAACAACTAGTCTTGAGAGCAGATGTTAATATAACATAGTGCTTGCTGGCTCAATAAAAGTCCATTTTTGGGCCGTCTGTTAGCAAAGTTAATCAACCAATCACGTGGGATGTAGTGTTTCTTTTGAGTCCACCAAACCGTATAATAATATAGCACAGTGTGACTCGGCTAGAGGAAAGGTAAAGAAGAATAAATAGAAAATTACAGTACTTATGTGAAAGTAAAGGAAAAAGGAGAAGACAGCTAGCAAGTCATCCATAGTCTTTACTGGCCCATGAGGCCATGTTATACTGCCATCTCCTGGTTAGGAGTGGGGAGGAGTTTCCCCCCCCACCCCATTTAATAGTATTTTATTTTTTCCAATTCCAATTTATTTTTTTCCATTCAGTTTAATAAGATTTTGAGTTCCAATTTTTTTTTCTTCCTCCCTCCCCCCTCCCCAAGATGGCAAGCAATCTGATATAGGCTATACGTGTACAATCGTATTAAACATATTTCCACATTGGTCATGTTGTGAAAGAAGAATCAGAACAAAAGAGAAAAATCATGAAACATAAAAAAGAGAAAATAGTATGCTTCAACCTGCATTCAGACTCCATAGTTCTTTCTCTAGATGGGGACAGCATTTTCCATCATGAGGTTTTTGGAGTTGTCTTAGATCCTTGTATTGCTGAGAAGAGCTAAGTCTATCAAAGTTGATCATCGCACAGCATTGCTGTTACTGTGTACAACGTTTGAGATTTTAAAAAAATTATCCTGAATATGGATCTCATTCATGTACCATTCTCCTGCCAAATGGCTCCTGAGTTGAAGCGAAGGCCATAAAGCAAATCCTTAAACTTGCGGGTAGATCTGCTAAACTGATAAGTGTCAGACGTTTGTTAGTTGAATATTCATTACTATTTCGACTTCTTAAACTCTTTGTTTTTCCTTGATTTATTTTTCCTTCTACAACGTAACATGAAAGTGGCTCTTTTTATAAATGCTCTTTGCCCTAGATCTGTGAAGGAAACAAGTTATAAGAAATCCTAAGTGTCCTATCTCCACAAAAAGATGGTGGACATGTAGATGTGGCGTTTGGCCCGTTTTGAACTGATGCAGTGAGAGACAGAGGCATGGTTGGCACTTGGCCCTGGCACAGGTTAAACTGTGCCAACTATAGTCTGATCATTTAGGTTTCACTGGTGGTGGTCAGCTTTGATCTAATGCCATTTTTAACTGTATAGGCAAGATTGATGCAAAAAAGTTGACTAAGTCAATAGTGATAGAAGAAACTATTTTGTATTTATGGGTAGTTTCATAAACATTTTGACATGGCTAGAAACGACTGACTTTTAAAAATAATTTTGTTGTCATAGTTTTTAGATCCTTATGATGGTGACTCTGAAGATATAACGAATTTTTTGGACTACAATTTGAATAATTGTTCCCTTGGGAATATGACCTGCAGTGGAGTTTCAAATTCACTGAACTCACATATCCCAGAAGAGGTTGCTATTGAAGACCCCACCTTTCAGAAAAGTCCAGAACTTTCCAAATCTACCAGCTGGACCTCGACTTCTCCAACATTAGAAACGAATGACGTGTACATGCAGCCAATGAGTGAAGTGAAATTGCCAGTAGAGATCATCAGTGAAGAGGTGAGAGATTGCTCAGTGAGACATTCAGAGCCATCTGAATTGTCTGTGGATTCTAGAATAATTCCCGAGGTGCAAGGGCCAAGGTTAGAACATTCCTGGTTCATGAATATTGATCCTCCTACACCTGTAAGACACTTGGAAAACATAGTAAGAGTGCCCTTGCTGCCTGCCAGGCTCATGTATGATAAGGACATTAAGTTGTATAAACCACCACTGTTCAAGAGAAAACTGGAACTACCACATTCAGAGTGTGAAAAAATTAAAAGAAAGAAAACAGCATATGGCATAAGCTAAGGTAAGTTGCTTTCTCTCATTCAGTGAATTCTAAAGCAGTTTAGGGAAGTATGATTACGTGATTGACGTTGATTCTTTCAGAAAGTCACTGAAGCAATTGTTGCATGATGAACTTAACATGCGTTACTTGAGTCTTTAGCATGACTTTTAAAGTCACGTTGTCATAATTCCCTATGGATGCATTTTCATTTGGCTTGCTGTGAATCGGATATTCTATTGATGCCACCTATACATGAACAGTTTCACATGTGTTTTTGCATATGTAGAGGTATACATACAAATAAATACAAGTTTATTGTGTGTATATATACAATATAGTTATATACTTATGTAGGTATATACAAACACAAGCACATTATATGTATATAAATATGCACACATGAGCCTGGTTAGGGGAGGGGAGATTTTATACACACATACATACAAACACACACATGGATATTATATAAGCATGTACAATGTGTAGGTAGCACATATAACATACATGTGTGTGTTATATGCATAATACACATGGACACACACACATCTAAACATATATGCATATATGTTTGAGGTAGCATAGTATAATAAAGAGAGAGAGCCAGCCTCAGAGCCAAAAAGACCTACGTTTGAGTCTTGCCTCTGACATATGCTGGCTGTGGGACCCTGGGGAAATCACTTAACCTTTCAGTGGTCGGTAGACACCTCTTTGAGACTAAAATGTTGTGGAGAAGGTGCAGTCCTGCATCGGTAGAGGAATTCTTTATCCTAGAGTTCCTTACATAATGCTACCACAGGCCTTGTCCCTATCCCTGTGTGTAAATACGAGATGGCACATGTTACATATGAATATATGTGGGAGTGTTCAGTAGAAAGGGTACTGGATTTGAAGTCAGCAGACTTGAGAGCTAGAATCTTCATTTTGTATGACTGGACAACCTTCCCTGGGCCTCAGTTTCCTCCTTTGCAAAACTGAAAGACTGGTCTAAACAATCTCTAAAGTCCTTTTTGGCTCTAAATGTCTATTCCCCTCTGTCTCTATATGAATGATTTGTAATATATCGGTCTTCATTGAAATCCTCCTTTGGCACTTTATGGCTGTGCAGAGATGACTCCAGCCTCTGGAGAGCTTGGCTAGATCATACAATGCTGAGAAGGCTTCGAGCCTGGGTCTGGTGATGGTCTGAGGACCAGCCCAGCTGAGTGCAAAGTAACCAGATGAAGAATTTTTTGGCCCCAGCAACTTATTGAAACCTTTCACTGAAGCAGGATGTCTTGAGACCTTTTTTGAACCATTGATAGTCCGGTGAAGTATATAGATCCCTCAGAATAACCTTTTTAGACGTACAAAATAAAATATATATGGTAAAGGAAATATGGTTAACCAGGCATTACCAAGTACCAGGTTCATAGATACCCCCCCTCAAACTCTCTTCATGGACCCTGTGGGGGTCTATGGAGCCCAGATTAGGAACCCCTGCCCTACAACGTAGAGGGATTATAATCTGCATTGGTCAAGGGAACACTCATGTCAAAGAAATAACGGATTTTTTTTTTGGAAGTATTGAAGCAATAGATCTCTTGACTCAGTGGAACCACAAAGTATTATAGAAAGATACGTCCCATTCTAGTCTCTCTAGATACAGTAAAACCTGACCAATTCAGATTACATATAGACTGTCTGAACTAGTCTAGTGACAAGTGTAATACAATATTTTTAAAGAATAACATTTTATTATTTTAGTATATTCGATAACAAAGTTAATAAAGTTAGTATCAGTCTCTATGTTATGTGATTAGCTTTCAATGTGAAAGCACCTTGTGCTTATTTTTTTTTAAGTTCTCCAATAATTTAATTTATGCTACTTTATGAAATGGGTATTTGTTAGACAAAAAATAAACTTTCAGCCCAACTGGTCTGGGTTATCGCATGTTGCAAATTAGTAAAATCTGAAATAATATGCTTTTATCATCTTCCTCCCCTCTCATTTCCCTCCCCACCTGAAAGCGTATGTAATATTTTTCTCCCCAAGCTTGTGGTGGCCGGGGGCAGTAAGGCGAGTGTTCTGTCTCTTCCACAGCTGCAGCTGGGACTCAAGGTTTCATCATTGGGTCCAGGTACTTCAGCCTTTTACTGGTTTCAAGAACAAATAACTTCTCAAGAAGTGCCAATAAAATGAAGCCAATGAAAACGAATCCTGTGTGAATTTCTTGAGGTACCGACAGATACAAGGGCATGGTCTCATTTTGAGGATTCTGATGCTTTTATTCATGAATTACCAAAATGATAAGATAGGGTAATGGAGATTGGCATCCAGTTTGATCTTTGCTCTAAGACTCCAAAAGAAATAGTTTCCAGTTACTAGACGAAGAAATTGACAATCAAAGCGATTAAGTACTTTGCCTGAGGTTCCAGGATTAATACTTACAGGATCAGAGACGGAGTTAGAAGAGACGTTAGAGCCGAGGAATCTGAAGGCCAGAGAGGTTAGAACACTGGGCCTTAGAGTCAGAAAGACCTGAATACAAATGTGGCCTTAGACACCTCCTAGCTGTGTGATCCTGGAAATGTCACTTAACCTCTGTCAGCCTCCGTTTTCTCCACTGCAAAATGAGGATAATAATAGCACCTACCTCCCAGGGTGGTTGTGAGGATCAAAGAAGACAATATTTGTAAAGCACCTGGCTTTACCACAGTGCCTGGCTCATAGGAGGCACTTAATAAATGCTTTTTCCTTTACCTCCTTTAAGTAACTAACCTATGCTCACCCAGGACTAAATGGTAGAATCTAGATTTGATTCTAGATCCGCTGACTCCTAATTCCAACTTCTCTTTCCATCCCAGCACACGGCCTCTCCCCATCACATAGTTAAAGTGATGGAGCCAGTATTAGAACTGACTCAGTGCAGCATTCTCTCCTTGCTACCATGTTGCCTCCCTCACGATGGAGACAAGAGGAGAGAAGAGCTTTGCATATTGCAGGGCCAGACTGAGTTAGAGGTAAGGGAAGAGTTGACAGCATGGTGATGTGCTGCTTCTTTTTTTTTTTTTTTTTGGCAACTGGGGTTAAGTGACTTGCCCAGGGTCACACAGCTAATATGTATCAAGTGTTTGGTCTGAGGCAGGATTTGAACTCAGGTCCTCCTGATATCAGGGCTGGTGCTGTATCCACTGCGCCACCTAGCTGCCCCGTGTACCGCTTCTTCAAAAAGTGAATGTTTTGTTTCCTCGTTGCCTATGCTTATTCCTCTAATTTCTTTTTCTTGTTTTATTGCTATAGCTAGTGTTTCTAGCGCAGTATTGAATAATAATGGTGATACTGGCCATTCTTGCTTCACCTCTGATCATAATGGAAAAGTTAAACTTATTAGTTAATCACCATTACAGATAATGCTTGCTCTTGGTTTTTTATAGATACTACTTATCATTTTAAGAAAAATATTCATTTATTCCTCTACTTTCTGGTGTTTTTAATATGGTCAAAACCTTTTCTGTATCTATTGATATGATCATATAATTTTTGTTGTTTTCATTATTGTTATGGTCAATTATGCTTATAATTTTCCTAATATTGAACCAGCCTTGTATTCCTGATATAAATCTAACCTGGTCACAGTGTACAATCTTTGTGATATATTGCTATGGTCTTGTTAGTATTTCATTTAAAAATTTTGCATCACTATTCATTAGAAAAATTGGCCTATAGCTGTCTTTCTCTGTTTTTTGTTCTCCCTGGTTCAGGTATCAGAACCATATTTGTGTCATAGAAAGAGTTTGGTAGGACTCCTTCATTACCTATTTTTTCAAAGAGTTTATATAGTATTGGGAGTGTTTTAAATGTTTGGCAGAATTCACAAATCCATCTGGTCTCAGGTTTTTTTTTTTTTTTAGGGAGCTCATTTATGACTTACTCAATTTCTTTTCCTAACATAGAATTACTTAGGATAGAATAGAATAGAATAGAAATTCTATTTCCTCTTCTGCTATTGTGGGCAATTTATATTTTTGTGAATATTCAACTATTTAATTTAGATTGTCAGTTTTATTGTCATGCAATTATACCAAAATAACTCCTAACAGTGGCTTTAATTTCATCTTCATTTGTTGTGCATTCACCCTTTTCATTTTTGATACTGGTAATTTAGTTTTTCTTTTTTAAAACCAAATTAACCAATGGCTTATCTAGTTTATTTGTTTTTTCATAAAACCAGCTCCTAGTTTTATTTATTCATTTTCTACTTTCAATTTTATTAATCTCTTCTTTTTTCAGGAGATTTATTTTTTTGTTTAATTGGGCATTTTAAACTTATTCTTCTGTTTTTGTTTTTTTCTTTTAGTTTGATGTCCAATTCATTGATTCACTCTTTCTCTCTTTTATTGATACAAGTTTTTAGAGATATAAGTTTTCCCTAAGTACTGCTTCAACTACGTCCTACAAATTTTGGTATGTTATCTCCTTGTCATCTTTAACAAAATTATTGATTGTTTTTATGGTTTGTTCATTGACATACTCATTCTTTAGGATTAGATTATTTAGTTTAATTTTTAATCTTTGCCTCCAAGGCCCTTTATTGAATGTAATTTTTTTTTTGCATTATAGTTCAAAATAGGTATATTTGATATTTTGGCTTTTCTGCATTTGTGAATTTTTCATGCTTTAATACATGGTCAATTTTTGTGGAGATGCCATGTACAGTAGAGAAGTATATTCTTTTCTATTTCCATTCAATATTCCCCTAAGTCTATCATATCTAACTTTCCTAAAATTCTATCCATCTTCTTAATTCATTCTTTCTTTCTTTCTTTCTTTCTTTCTTTCTTTCTTTCTTTCTTTCTTTCTTTCTTTCTTTCTTTCTTTCTTTTTTTTATGGCTGGATTTATCTAGATATGAGAGGTGAATTGAGGACCCTACTAGTATAGTTTTACTATTTCCTCCCATAATTCATTTAACTTTTTCTTCAAGAATTTGGACACCAGGCTATTTGGTGCCTATATCTTCACTACTGATATTAATTCATTAT